TAAACAGTATTTTAAATAGCTGGGTCGTTTGAGGAAAGGAGTGCTTGTTCTCCAAAGCAACTATTTCTTAAGATTAAGAACTATTTTATGTTCCTATGTTATAATACAACATGCGCAAAAAATAGGTGAAAAGTTTATGTTCTGACTTCACTGTTTTAAGGGGCTTGGGAGCCTCCTTAGGCATTGGCTTCTGGTAAATCCTCAGCTCTTTTTCCTGATTTTACTTTTATTATTCTTGAGCCTCTGAGATGCTGGTAAAGCCTTTTCTGCTGGCGTAAGATTTTTCTTCTTGATCATCCAAGGTTATCATCATCTCTACAAAGTGGATGAGCATGTTCCCTTTGCACCTTGCAAAGAAAGACAAAGAGGAAGAAAAAATAACAGAAAATTATTCTGTAGTCTTCTTAAGTCTAACAGTTATTTTAAGAAATGTTCACTTTTTGCTTTTCCAGGTTCAGGCAACAGTAGTTGGCTTTCTGGCAGCAGTAGCTGCAGTTATATTGGGCTGGATTCCAGAGGGCAAATACAGCTTTGATCATTCTGTCCTTCTGTGTTCTAGCAGTGTAGCAACTGCCTTCATAGCTTCTCTTTTGCAAGGTAAAAGGAGTATATATGTTACTTTTTTACAGTTTTTTAGTTTTCTGTTAATGCTGAATGTGTGTTACTTTGCTATTCCTTCAAAGTTTAAATCCAGTTAGGTATAATACATCTGAAACACAGCTGAGAAATAGGATGCCCTTCTGCAATTTCCATATAGGTCTGCATATTGTATTATTTCCTTTAAAAAGGTTTTGATTTACATGACCTCCTGAGCATATCTAAACCAAAAAGTATGGGTTTTAGCTTTTGCCTAATATGATGAGGAACTTTTTCTCCCTGCTTTTTATATCCATAAATGTACAAAATATAGTCTTAGTACTGAGCAGGTAGAACTTAGTTGTAATTAAACTCAAGTGAGCCTGCATTTTAGCTCAGCTGAATCCAAAGTTCCTGGTTGCCCATGATGCTTTTGTATTAGTTTGTGCTCTGGTTTGTACCTGAAGTGAACAAATTGGCTTGTTACATGAAGGGTTTGGGTCAAGTTCAATTCCCCCTCTACAAACAGTGCCAATGTCTGTCTGTAGCCATATGGTGTGATGAGTTTAATCTTTTTTTACTAATTGTCAGGAAACATTTAAGCATAAAAGATGTTACTTAATGGACACGAGGAGAGGTGGGAAGTACCTCTACTTGTGACATATTCTTAGTGAAAATACATAGTCAATAGTCTTAGTAGTATAGTAGTAAATCAAGTAAAATGTTTAACTTCCTTTTTTTGCTAATTTGATATGCTTACTTTTGTGAAAATTACAGAATTATTAAAGTTTTGCATGGAAATTAAGAACACACTTCTTTAAATTATTACAAAGCCGTTGAGTTTGATCATGCACAGAATTAAGAGCAGCAAAAGAACTGGGGAACATGAGTGTGTTATTTCCATTTCTCATGTATAATTTGGACATGAAGAGGAACTTTTGTTGTTATCTGATGATGGGCCACCATGGGATATCACTTTCTAAGCTTCATCCTCCTACATGTGAAACGGGTGCTTTTGAAATATCATGATCCTATGGGATTATTTCAGTTCTTTATTTTGCGAATTTCATGGAGCATAACTCTTTAGGCTGTTTCACTGCAAGTGAACTCCTCATGTAGCCTACAATACATAAGACTGCAAAAATACATGAAAATTATAATACTAAATCAAAAATTATTAAAACTAACATAAAGGATAGTATACATAGATGAATCTATTATATATATTGTATGAGAAGGCAATTACTTGGTAATACCAAAGAAGACTTTTAATAACAATGTGAATTTTATTTTTAGTAGGTACTTGCATTCTGCAGGGAAATTCCTCTTAAAATGGTAGTGTTGCTGTTTATAGGAAAAAAATAGAAACCAACATCCCTAAATTAATTGGTTTTAACTGTGTAGCAAGTAATATTTTTATATGTTGTCTTGGTTTTAATTTATGATGTAGCTTCTTGACATTTGGTGCTGAGTCTGTGACTGAAAATCTTGCACCGTATCAGATGTCAAAGTAGTTAATCTTATGCTGTTTTCAGCCTAGTGTAATTTAAATTTCAGTCAGCAAAAGCTAGTAGAGTGTAGAAATAATACACTGCATATTTTATACTTCACGAAATGACTGATGCAATTTCTTTAGTGTTAATTCTAATCATAAACAAAACAGTTCATTGTGTAGACGTTTCTTCATTTTTGTGTGTGTGTGTGCTTATTGTATTTGTTAAACTGAGTCTTTTAAAACAGCTAAAACTAAAAAATACAGACATTAGTTAGATAAGAACGATCATCCTGGGGCAAAAGCACTGACTTCTTATTTATTAAGTTTGAAATTGCTGTCATCTTGGAATTTTCTGTGGAGTTACAACAGTAGATATGGTTATTGCACTGTCTCCTTTGTTGACTCTAGGAATAATAATGGTTGGAGTTATTGTTGGATCAAAGAAGACTGGTATTAATCCTGACAATGTTGCCACTCCTATAGCAGCAAGTTTTGGAGATCTTATCACTCTTGCTATACTAGCATGGATAAGTCAGGGTCTTTACACTTGCCTTGGTAAGTATCTTTCTAGGTGTGTATGCCTCCCTAGACACCTCTTTTGGGTTAGGAGGGTGCGGAGAGAGAGGTTCAGAAAACCTTTTAATTTGACTGACTTTTTTTGTCAACATTTACACTGTTGAGTGATAAATCTTGGGTTGCAATATTATGCCATGATCTTTTTTTTTTTTTCCTTTCTTTCTTCTTTTAAGTGATAGAAGTCACTAACCACAATCTTGGCACAATCTACTAATATCTGAAAGATTCTCATGGTATCACAGTCAATCTACATGTGAATTAGAAACGGTAGTTGCTGAATTTACTCTGCTTCCTTGTGGGGAAGGGAAGCTGTCTTGACGCAAGTTTTCTTGAGTGACCACCCCTAAATCAAATATTTGCTTTCCAGACTCCTTTTAAATTGTTTTCCCCTTGCACTGAGGCTAAGGAGTTGAATTGGCTATCCAGATAAGCTGCTGGGAGAGGAATTCTGCCTGGAGAAAATCTTTGTTAAATTGTGGTTTTAGACACTGTTGAAATACCTCTTGAGCTGCAGCTATGCCCAGAAATCAAAGTTAGAATAATTTATGTAATCTGAGTAACAATAGCAGGTCAAGAACAAGTGTGTATTCAAAGAAGTGAAGCCTAATTTTAGATAGATTTGTGCTTTGTGATTGCTAGGACATTTAAATGAGTTAAAGACTACGTGAGTTCCTTCTGATGCCTTCCATGTGCTTTTCAGCTCCTGTTACAATACCTTCTTGTTTCCTCATCTCCCCTACTCCACCTTCCAGTGCCGGTTTCCTCAGCTCTTTCTTATCTCTTGTTTCCCTCATAGTGTGACACTTCCATGTCTCCTGCCTTTTCTCTGCACCTTTGCTTGATTTTACCAGCGTTTCCTTCTGCTTTTCAGCAAATGAAGTAACCACGTCCAGCTTTTCCAAATAATGGTTCCACTGTCTTCTGTTTTCTTTGTTTTGTTTTGTCTTACAAATTTGGTGTTTATATTTCGAACATAAATCTGCTAATTTAGCTGTAGCTTTCTTTAGGACAGCAGGTCTGCCATGAAAGGTGAAAAAAAGTGTAACCACACTGAATAGCTAAGCAGCAAAGGAGAGGCCTTTGTTGACTACTGACTAGAGAGGGCAATTATTTAGTCCTACTTCACACACTTCTGCCTTCTTGGTGACAGTTTTCTGCTGTTTACTTACTTTCCCATTAATAACTACGAACAGGTGAATTACATATAAACAGCTCCATACTAATTTTCTTATGAATGACTTTTTTTTTCCAGTTCTTGTCTTCCACTAGTTATGTGCATGTTTTTATAGTCCCTTTGAAACTGTTTTTCTGATTCATAGGACTAAAAGCCTACTTTCTTAAAGGGGAAGATCACTGATGAAAGTTCACCATTACAATGTCCTCTAAAAATGAATATGCCTATAGTTATTATTATTAGAAGCATGCTCAGATAGTAACTGATGTAATGAAATGCTTGATTGTCACAAAGGAGATGTGAGCTTGGAAAATGAGAATGAGGAACTAAAAAATCAGTCTTTTTCTTCCTGATTCTTTATCTCCTCCATGAAGAAATAGTGTGAAAACATTTCTTCACAGGAGAAGAATGTTCATTTCCTCAATAAACAATACTTTATTGTTAAATAAACAATACGTAAAATTAAGTTATTGCTGCAACTGACTCCTTCCACACAAACTCTTTAAAGTATATTGTGTTTTAACTATAGGATACTGCAGGCCAAATATTGTGGTGTACATAATTGTTTTACCAGGCATGTTGGTATCACCACATACATTCTTCAGCTGTGCTCATTGTTTAAGCCCTTTTATGTAAAAGTTTGAGCTGTTCTGTGTAAGTAATACAACTTCAGAAAAGGTATCTAGTAAGACTCGAGCTACCTTGGTGTGCCTTGCCATTTTGTTTCCTAGTTTTCAATTGATTATATGATATTTTCAGTATTTGATTTTTCATACTTAGAAAGTGTTGACATGATGTCAGCTTAAGTGTATCAGTGTGCAGTACAGCCATTTTTAATGTTTTCTGTATTTTTGTTAAAACTTCAATTGTAATGTTTATTTTATAACTATACTTAAATACTTTATATTATTTTTTAATAAAATAACTTATTTATCTAATGCTTCCTTTAAATACTTCTTTTAGGGAAGTTTATAGACTTCATTCAAAACAAAATTGGTAAAGATTTTTTAGCTGCTCTTCTTTCTTTTGTCCTATTAAGAAAAAGAGAGGAAGCTCCTATTCTTACTAAATTCGATGTCTTCAGCTAATGCTAGGGCTGGGATAATAATTAGTTTAGCTTATTAGAGCCTGTTTATCTAGATGTATTGCTATGCTCCAAAATCTTATTAGACTGGAACATTGAGTTATTCTGCTTAAAGTAGATTTCAGGTCCCAACAATTGATATGTTTGATTGGAATTCAGATAAGAAGTAGAACTTATGCTAGTTAATTGCGTGTCGGGGAAGTTGGTATACTAGCTAGATGGAAAGCAGTTAGGTAGGAGAGAGTTAGCTAGGAGTACTGGTGTATACCAGCTATCTGGGTAGGTGTGGAGTTGGAAGCATTTGCCAAATCTGTGTTAACACTGAGATTAGATTTGGGGCTAGAGTTACGGTTAATTTTTTTCCTAGTCAAGATTGTGTTTGATTTAAAATAAGTAATGCTAGGCTTCAGGCTTTGATGTTAACTAGTAACTATTTCAAATGAAGTTTTTTAGAAACTTATGCCCTATAGGTCAAACTTCATTTTGGGTTTTAAAATTTTACCTTGTAAACTACATTGTAATGAATATGCCAGTGATTTTTTCATTTGTTTCCTAAATCTTTCCCCTACAAATATTAGTTCCTTATGTTTCTTATGCATTGTAATGTTTTCTACATAATTGTTTAAGTGGAATCCATATGATTCAAAGACAGTAAATCATTAAAACTGAGTCTTACTGGTTTTAGACAGCTTCCTCTACTCCTTTCCATTTTTTTAAATTGTGGCCACAGGTAAAACTGAGTTACATGTGCTGATGTTATAATAGTAGCTGGATTTTAATAGTGGCTACATTTGTTGTTTGTAAATAAACAACATATTATTTTGTGACTATATCTAGTACTCCTTCCTATGCTTTATATAAATTACAGATAATGCTTCTCTTGTTTTAAGATAACTAATAACTAGTAGTATTTCCATTTCTCCTAAAATATGCTTGGGTTTCTTTTAATCTAAAAACCCAACCAAACAAAACCCACTCAACTCCTAGAAGAAGATGGGGAAAGAAACGTGGACTTCTTTTTTCCTTTCACACATTTCCAGAAATTCACACCTCTAGTTGCAGATGGCCTGATGTGTCTCAGAAGAAGGAAAAGAGATGCAGAGCCAGCTTGAACTAATCATTTGCTGCTTTTACAACTGTCATGGCCATTCATCTTTTAGTCAGCCACTGCAGCTGAAAAGTAGGTCCCACACATGTGTAGGGGGAAGGATTACTACTTTCAAGTAATAAGTATGCTTCTAAGAGTTACTCCCAGTTTACTTTCTATGTGGTCTTCTGGAAATACTTCTATTCTGGTAATACATGTAATTATCTAGTTATGGTTAAAATAGCTGCTTCAGCTCCTTGTATTTTTCAGTGTCTTTGTATTTCTTTCCCTTAGGAAGCAGAGAGTCTTTCTAAAGTAAGAACATACCACAAAGCTCTTGGAAATGTGTGGTTTCCAAGATGCGTGTATTTGAACTATGAAATAGTAACAAGGAATAGAATATGGAGTAGCTTCAGCTCAGGAGAGGTATATAAAGTTGTGAATGGCAGGGAAGTGACATTCAGAAAATAACTAGCCAACAGGTTAAAAAAAACAAAAGAGAAACTCCTTTACACAATATGTGATTAGGATGTGAAACGTACTGCCATGGTGTAATCAGAAGACCAAAGTGATTTTCGAAAACCATGTAGATAAATTAATCAGAAGAAACCATTGAGGACTATTGGACAGATGCAGTCAGAAACTTGAGTGATAAAATCCCTGAGGCAAACAGCAGCAGAATCTGGCAGAGCACAGTCTAAACTTGTAATTTTCTTTTCTTCTTTGTGCAAGCCTGAACTGTTGACCATAGTCAGATTCAAGATACTGGACTAGACAAGACCTTTGACCTCATCCAGCACAGATGTTCTTATGTTCTTTTTGTCATTTCCCTGCTTTCTCAATGCTAGAATAGCAAGCAGAATGGGAATGTTATTAAGAAATCCCCAGTTTATGGGCTACTAATGAAACAGGTGGGATCCATTTTTGAACTGCATGCTGAACTATTTTTCCCCTGTGATTTATTAGCCTAACTACTCAAATATACTGAGACAGAAGTGCAAGATTCAGACTGCTCTCTGAATGGGAAGAACTGTTTTCAGATAACAAGACTGGAAGGGGAGGGAAATGATTTATGTACAAGTTTTATGCTTCTCTGTAACAGAGCTGTAGACCTGTGCTCAGCCTTTAATTTGATAGCATGGTTCATGGCATTCCCAGAAGAGACAGGGAAAAAAGACTGGGGGTGTCATTTTTACTTACGCTAGGGCCAAATGAAACATCTTATTTGGCTACTATTATGTACATAATTTCTTCAAAGTTTATCTGAGTGCTTTAAAAATAATGGCAAATCTATCGAACACAGGGATTTAAATAGTAAAGGTTAACAGTAGCGTCTTTAACTGCCTAAAAAGAACGGTATCTATGAATCGTTGTTAAATAGCTGGGGAAAGCACTAGGGGGCTCCCCAGGACCATCACCGAGCACGGCTCCTGTTCCTCAAACAGAACACGGGGAATGCTCTGGAATAGGAAAACCCAGTATATTAAATGTGGAGATCAGTGTTGCTTGTCATTTGTCAGTAATGATCTGAAGATTTCATTTAAAGCTTTTCTCTTTTCTTACAGAATGTGGCTTAAATATACGCATGTATCTCTTGTGCATGTTGAATCCAGGTTGAGAAGACAAATTGTGATTCATATTATTATGTGATATGTGAGTCATTAATATTTTCAGGTTCCTACTAGTTGCTTTGAAGTAGTTTATTTCCAATTTGCCTCTAATTCCTGCTAGAGGTTGCATCGTTTTCAGTGGCTCTGCACTGAACAGTATGTCACAGTAGACCCTGCACAAGGTGCAAAACACAAAGAATCTGAGTTCTCTAAACTAGATTAATTTATATCACTGTTTATTAAAGGAATAGGGGCTTACAGTAAATGAAGATCAATAGGGACTCAGTTGAGAAACTTGTGTCTTTCCTCTTCCTCCCTTCTTTTTTTAATGTAGGGTTACAGTCAGAAGTTCATTGAAGAGTTGAGTGCTTTTAGGAGTTGATCTTCCACCCTGGTGTGATACAATTTCTATAGCAGAGCCAAGCTGATCAAGATTCCTTTCACCATGTAAGCTACCTGCTATAAATCTGTTGAAATTGAAGCGAGCCCTAAAAGAGGAGTCCTTTATTTCCTTTTCCCATTCTCTAGCTGTTGCAGAAGACATTTGCTTATTCTTCAAAGAGGAAGGATGGCCCACCCTACCTTAAAAGTTGCATCTTAAGGCTAACATCTTTTTAGATTCTTATAATAAGGTGTGATAAAAGTAGTCTCCCACAGCTAAAAAATAAAGTCTCGTGGTCTGTTCCCAAGAGTTAGACTGGTTAAGAGTTAGAGTAGTTTCACTAGTCCTGTAGGTAACTGGAATCTGTCATTGCTCACTTGTGACAGATTCTGTAATGTAATTCTAACCTATTATTTGCTTCTGTAGTTGTGTTTTTAATTCAGCTTAATAGACAGGCAGTAGAATTTAAAGTTCGGGTAGGGAGCAACTGCCTTGCCTTAATTTTTATGTAATTTTGTCTTAAAAAGCCCGGGCAGGGAGAATTTCAGTTGTCTGATCTAGAACTTGCAAACAGATTAAAAATATATGGAATCATAGAATAGTTAGGGTTGGAAAGGACCTTAAGATCATCTGGTTCCAACCCCCCTGCCATTGGCAGGGGTGCATCACACTAGACCATGTTGCTCTGTCCAACCTGGCCTTGAATACTGCCAGGGATGGAGCATTTTCTCCTTATTTAGCAGCATGGGGATGGTTGCTGACCCATTTATTTATTTGTCGTTCCCAAAGCACTTTGTAACAAAGAATCCCAATAAAGTCCTAGTATATTACCATAGCAGAAGGGGTTTTTAAAGAAAAATAATCTAAGCTCTGGCTGTGTCCTGTCCTTGGAGATCCCCCACTCCTGAGAGCGACTTCTGGCTTTTGTTCTTTTCAAAAAGAAATTTACAACAGTATTGCAACAATGGAGTAGCTTTTATAATCCATTTGATGTCCAACTCTACTTAAAGAACTTGGGTATAAAATCAGTTCTGTAAGTTCTCTCCGTACTTATCTCCACGGTGAAATTAAGACATTTAATACATACTAAAATGCTAAACAGTAAGGCAAAAAAATTTAACTCCTTTCACTTGCTGTTGACTCAGAGGAACAAAGCTAAGCCATTTCCTGAGTAGTCCTGAAAGTCCTCTCTCAGTGTGTAAAAAATATGACTGGTTGCAGTTTGTTTCATGTATCTCTTTGTCATGTATATTTTTTTATGTATATCTTTTTCTGTATATCTTTTTCAAAAGATAGTCTTTTATATCACTATACACTTTGGTTTTATTGCCATAAAACACATATTCACCCTCTTGAAAGTTCTTCTAACTTTTGCTTTGTTTGCTGCAAAAATTACAGCTTCCTACATTTTATGGATGGATATTTCCTTTTTTTCCTGTTGGTGCTGTTAACTAACTTAAAATATGCTGAACTCAGCCAGTGAAAGATTGGATAATCAGCCATGGGTTAGTCATGTTTTCCAAGATTTGTAAAGTTGCCCTTGCTTCTGGCTGCTCGCTGAGTTCTGAAATGGTCCTGTTGCACTGCAGATATAACTAAAATAAATATAATTTATAATTCATGAATCATTATACACTAGTGAGACTGTCTTCTCATATTTTTCTTTTCCTTTTTTTTTAAACTTCTAACAAAACATTTCTGTGGCAGGATGACATGTGTCTGTATACGTTATATTTTAAATAGTTATTATTTATTTAGAAGCTACCCATTAAATAATTCTTGGTTAATGTTCGCTGTTCATTTGGTGGACAGATTTCAATTTTATCTATATGCACTTTTCTTTTTTCCTGAGAAGAAAGGAATTATATACTTATTTCTTTGTAATTCTTGGACTAAATTCTTGGACTAGCTCTCCAAGCTTGGAGACTGGTGCATAGTCTCCCTTTTTTCATGAACACATTCTAGCAAGTTCCTTAGTTGTTAGTGGGATTAAAAAAGAAATTATTGTAAAAGGCATAGGTTTTTTAACTTTGTTTTCCTGTCCTGTGTTGGCACACCTCCTGTAATAAAGGGTACAGTGGGCTAACTGTTGATGAACAAGTGAAACAATATAAAAAATTAATGATTAATTAGGGTAGTGCTCACCATTGCATCTGTGTTTTGCTGTTCAGTGTTTGTTTGCAACAGAGGATCTTTGCTGACTTACTGTTTAATCAAATCGGCAACCTCTCCAAAAATGTGGCAAAGACTTGAACCTGATTTTGTGCCCCTTTGTATTTTACTAAATATACTGTGTTAGAGCTGTTCTCTCGTTCTTCTCGCTGACCTTTAATCGGTTTTTGGGCATCTTGTACATGCTAATGCCTCACCTTGGTTCCACGTGAGAGGAACAGACAAGGAAAAAGAAAAAGCAGCAGGGATACAGAATCATTTATGTCTTGGGGGAGGAAGAAAGAAAAGAGAGGGGGAAAAAAGAGAGAAGTTTCAAAATTTAAACAGATATAGAATGAATTACACCTTTCCATGTAACCAATTTTAGTGCACACAGGGTTCTATCTTCATTGCAGGCAGGGGGGAGGAAGCTTTCACCTAGGCAAGAAATAGTTCAGGAACCTTACATCAGTACTTTTCTGTCTTTTTTTATTAAGTTTGATAAAACTATAATTGTAAAATGAAGGAATCATGTATTGTGTGTGCTCTTTTGAGGAAGAACTCTTTACATTAGGCCTACCTATTAGTTCACAGAAAGAAGAAAAAGGAGGGAAAAAAGGCACGACAAAGAAAGGCGATAATATACTGTAGGACAGTTAGATAAGGAAAGGAAAAAATTACTTCTCTTTTGGGCTTTGTCTCATTCATGTTCTAATAGCTTTCTACTTTTAGCTTACCCAGTGAAAGGTATCTTGCTATTTTTTCTGTCAGCTCTACTGCAGAGGTTGTTACCAGAAAGATAGTAACTTCTAAAAACTCTACAGCAATTCTAGGAGTAATTTTAGCTCCGCCAGGATAACATCAAAGTAGTAATTGCTTGAATTTGCAGCCTTTGTAATAAGCCATAATAAATGGGTAAGAATGCATTTTTAGTTACTGAATATTCTTCTTAGCGAAAGTGTCTATGTTCTACATTAACCATTTCAACCTATTAAAGTATATTTTGCATTAAGACTTGTCCAAATCCTGCAGGTTTAGATAAAATATATATATGACATTAAATACATGACCACATTTCTCATAAAACTAAATATATGTGAAAGTGGAATGTTTGCATAGGTTATATAGATACACATATGCATATGTATGTATATTTGCCATTAGGATAAATTTTATTTACCTTACTGTTGAATTAGGTAGTCTTGGATCACTGTAATAGCTTCTGTTTGGATGAGATTATAAACCCAAGTAATCTGAAAAAAATAGTATTCTTTCTGTGGAGGCAGCTGTTTGATTTATAAGGTCAGCTTTATGATGGTACTCACTGGTGTTGGCAGATGTGTTCCTATGAAATATGCATTTTGGATGGATAGGTGCAAGCAGCAGAATTGTGGCTGTGAATTTTCAGACTCAGACTGGTTATAAAACAACAGAGCTACTGTTATAAATGTCTCAGTATTACACATTGTGCTTGCATCATTTTAGATACACTGTTTCTGGGGAGATTACCATGTTATCTGTGCTTCGGAAAGAAAGGGATGCACATACCTATGAATTTGCGCATAAACAAAATGCATTTTAACATATTCACTTCAGGATTTTTTTTTAGATATGTTACAAAATAATGATTGATATTCCACATCCTTATTGCATTTTTATCGTAAAACACTGTACACAAATACCTTCAAAATTCCTTCTTTGTACAGACAGTTCTGTCTTGAGAAGATGGGCGTCAGTGGTCATGTATGGCAGATATCAACCATATTTTTTACTACGGTGGTTGAAACTTTAGGTACAGTAGTGATAAAGACTATTAAAGTATGATGTGTGATGTATATTATAATTTATTTTAGAGTTCTAAATTAGGAAAAACATAAAGGAATGTCTTGAAAGTTAAAGTTGTTTTTTTCCTTTTTCTTTTTTCCTATATTATTATTTTAGAGACATATTACTACGTATCTCCTTTGGTTGGTGCCTTTTTTTTGGCTCTGACTCCGATGGGGATTGTCATAGCTGCCAAACATCCAGCTACCAGAACTGTTCTCCATTCAGGATGGGAGCCTGTTATAACTGCCATGGTTATAAGCAGGTAAGTCTATTTATCTTGCTTCATCTTGATAGTCATCCTGTGTCTCTGCATCTTATTTAACACCTGAATGTACTTAAAAGAAACATTTAAGGAGCCTCTAGAATATAGAGTGTGAATAAACTTTAATCTTCCCCAAATGAGGAAGTTACAAAGTTAAGTCACAGGTGGGAATGAGCAAGGAAGCCAGCAGTAGCCTGTGGCAATGACTGAGCAGAAGCGTACTATATCAAATGAAGAAAATGGTGAGATATTCATCTCCTGCAGTTTCCAATCAAGATTTTACACTAACCTAAGAGATTATTTAATCCAATGAAAGTTACGAATCTTAACAGTGGAGTTATTGGCTGAAATTCTTTGGTCTTTGTTATACAAGAAGTCGATTTTAATATCTAAAGAACTATAGCAATATTAGTCTGTAGCTGAGAATGAGATAATGGGGCAGGAGGAAAGATGACTTGAGAAGAAAGTTATGGTTTGACGATGTTTTAAAACACTGCTAAAATGTTTTCAAATACTAATTATTGTACTTGTTTGCCTTATCCTAAATATTGTACTTTGTTTTTCAGTATTGGTGGCCTTATTTTGGACACAACTGTATCTGATCCTAACTTAGTTGGAATTGTTGTTTATACCCCAGTAATTAATGGTAAGATTCTGACAGGATTATGTGCTACTATATATCAAATAATATATCTTGCTTTGAGAAAAGTCTATTACAGTAAATTTCTGTTATGCTAATTGTTACCTGGCATATTAATTTAAAGTTTTGATTTTGATGTCTACGGTTGTTTATTTGAACACCTAAGGAGTCCTTCGTGATCTTATTTACTACAACCATTAAAACATGGTAGAGAGTGTGAGAAGTAGGAACCCAAAGTATGCATTAAGAAACTGAAAGTATAAACATCGAAGTAGTATATTCAAATATTAAATTATTAAATATTATATTGAAATGGTTATGGCTAAGGAAAATGTAAATAAAATCTTATTTGAAAGGATTTTCTTATGAACATCCAAGGACGTATTTTCAAAATGGTAATTTACATGTAAATGTACATAGATATAAGAACTAACAGGGATGCTACAGGCAAGTAAATAGGCTTCTCAAGAAAAATGTGTATTGTTTCCCATGCTTGGTATGCACTTTCCAGGTGTATAAGAATGTATTTGTGAAAATTTGGTCCTTAAGTTAAGTGTTCTATCTTCTAACAATAAAAGCAAGGCAAATTTTATAAGAACAGTTAATATCTTACTGGACTGATGCAGCTTGAAAACACCTTTTTTCCCCCTACAGTATCACAGGCTTGATACGTATTTAGTTTGCAGTAATTATAATCACTAGATCTGTTCTGGCTGTGTGGCTGTGTAGCTTTTCTTTCCCCTTTTGTATTTTTCCGTTTGATTCCTTACATTATTTTGCACTTTTGTTGATTTTTAAACCATTTCTCCGATTACCAAGATGAATCTGACTTCTAATTTTTGGCTTACAAAGTGCTTAATTTGGCCTTTGTAAATTCCATATTGGTATATTATTTTCTGTTTTCTAAGCTATGAGTGAAATGAATTGCCACCACTTGTTTTCCATCTAGATAATAAAATGTTAATATGGACACTTGAGTTTTAGTTTTGAATCACATGACCCTGAAAGAATTACTTTTCCAGAGGTTGCTACGGAAATTAGCATGGGATAGCACCAAAACATTTTGCCACAGTTGAGGGTTAGTATATCTATTCCTGTAACCATTAGGCAAGCTATTCAGTTAAAGGAGGAAATCGTATTGTTTTGACAGAAGCATGTTCTTGGCAAATTCACGTTAGCTCTTGTTTTACAGCTTTCATATCTTTTAGATGTTTATAAATTGCCTATTTAATAATTTATTGTAATAGTTATGTAGGAATTTAAATTTCACTGATATACAGATTCCCCAGATGATCCTTTCTGTCCCTTTTTAAAGATATATTTTCTGTTTTCCCCAGTACAGCCCTCTGGTATTCTCTAACCTCCGAGATCATCAGTTTGCAAAAATGATCACTGCCAATTCATGGATTGTTCATCTAGCTCTCTAAGGATGCACTAAATTTAACTTGCCCTTGGGCCCTAATTCATATCAGTTTGTGATCAGATATCACCATTTTTATGAAGGCCGTAGACAGAAGGAACTGAGTATTTCTGTCTTACATAGAGCATGTTACTTGTTCTTCTTTCCTGTTAAGGCCCTATATTTTCTTTCTTACTTTTAATACAAAGCATTTCTGTGTTGCCACTTGTGTTCCTTGCTAACTGTAAATTTGTTTTTACACTCCAGCCTTTATGCTTCTTTGCCTTTATTTTAATTAGAAATTGCAAGTACTTGTGTCTACCTTTTGTGTGTTTCTGTTTGATTTCCAGATACCTAAAGAGCAAGGCAGGCATACTGATCTTCAACTTTTTTCTGCTTTACATCTGTAACTTTTCTTATAATTGTCCTTTTTGGTAGTCCACTGGATTTGCTTTCTAAGAGAAGAGGATTGTAAGGTATTTTTAGGCAGGTGTACTCAGACCAGTACTCTTATCAGTGGTCCTGCTTAGATGACATCCCTTGATCACAAATGACAATTGTCTGGTGATTGTTTCTTACTGTTTCCCCACAGGCTCCTATTTCTGCTCCAGTACAGAACACTTTTGGATTTTCTCTATAGACTCATTTATTATCTATAGACTCACTTATTCTAGACTTGCTACCTACAATGGATACAGGTGTTATGGATACACACCTTTCTCAAGGCCTTATGCTCCTGCCAGATGTTGCAATAATGATGGTCTTTTACCCTGTAGCAGTTACGGGCTGCTCTTGGAAGTGGAACTATGCATTCTATTCACTGTCATTTTCTTTCACAAAAAATGGCTGGATTGCCTGTGTGTTTACATTTTACCTTTTTCACAGTTTTGGCTAGTGATTTCACTTAAGTAAATAATTTTAATTGCTAAGAATGACAGCTTGCTATAAACATGCCTCTAGGGAAAACAGTAAATGTTCCACTATGTCTTTTATTTTCTTTCATAAGTCTAACAGCAGAATTAAGGCAATGTGCATACATTCATTTGAACTATCTTTAAAGAAAAAGAACTAACCAAATGCTAGTTGATGAGCTGACAGGTCGTAGAATCATAGAAACAACTAGGTTGTAAAAGACTTTTAAAATCACCAAGTCTAGCCCTGACCCCAGGACTGCCAAGACCACCACTCACCCATGTTACTGAGGGCCTCATCTACATGTTTTTTGAACACTTCTAGGGATGGAGATTCCACTACTTCCCTGTGCAGCCTGTTCCAATGTTCATGTCAGTTTTGTATTTCTAGGTTGTTCTTAGCCTTTGTCATCTGCCCCCTGGCCTACTATGCAATGCCTGAGAACGTTGTTTTCCAAGCCACATCAGGTGCCTTACTCCATTGTTCATCTGAAGTTTTCATGCTTAGCTCCTTTTCTTATTATGCGTAAAGCAGTCTTTCCCTGGCTCTAAAAGTTTAAACTTCTTCAGTGATTAGTAATGAACCACCAGTGAGTTGTTCATAGTCCCAAGTCTGTATTTTCAGGGCATTTCAAGACCATTGCTATTATCCCAAACTCTTACATTGTAAGAAAATAACCCTCCATTTTGGAGCTCATAAGAAGCTTACAACAAGCCTAATAGGCCAGGACTAAACTTATCCTAAGGCCCATGGCGTATTACTACCAATAGCAATCATTCTTTTGCAGTGCCACTGGCCAACAACAGAAGCAGTAAGGAATTCTGGTTATCCCTCATTCAGAAAAGAGCAGAGGGGAATAATGTGTTAAGCATTGTTTGTTTGTATGCTAACCCCCTTAACTCTCAGAATTTTAAGAAAAGAGGCATTTCTATTGGAAAATATAAAGCAAATATGTTCTGTATAGAGGATGCAGAGTGGGCCTGTTTTATGGTACCCCTCCTGGAAAAGGAAATTGTAGGTAGGTGATTTTTTGGTCGCTGTTAGATTAACCTCTCCTGGGTTTCATAATTCTACTGGCACCTTTTGATATTGCTGGTCAGTATGCCGTAGTATACTGGGGTTTGGGAAATCTTTCAGTTAAAAAAGCACATCTGTTGACACTCATTTACTGACATAAAAGGTGTGCTAGACCAGTTAACAGATGGCTTTTTGAATATTATTGTTGCGGAAAGCTTTCTCTACCAGTGCTCTCCTGGCCTTGGAATTCTCGTAAGCCTGAGCAATGAAAGGAGCAGAGGTTTTCCCTCAAAACACTTTTCAGATGCCTTTTCCTTTCTCTTACCCAAAAGTTTCTTGTTCCTATGACACAGAAAACCTGAAAGAAACTAAGGAAACCTGAAAGAAATATTATAACCTATTGGGATTGAGTCCAGCCAGAATTTGAGGAGAGTGTAAATTTGTCCAGTATTTTCAATCTGGAACAGTATGCACTGCAAAGCTGCCAGTGTTAGGCTTCCTGTGTGCACCATTAAATAGCTTTCAATGTGATCCTGTCTAGAGGGTTTGCATATTCTTAGAGGTGAGACAAGTTACTTTCATCATGTACATTACAGAGTGGACCCATAAATCCTTTGGTTTAGGAAATATTGGTCTGGATATGAGCAACCTCAAAGGTTCCTACACCTATTAACAATAACTGCAAATTATTTGCCAAGAATATTAAAACAGTTCTTAAGGAGGCAGGGATTTATGGTCAGCTTTACTGCTGGTGGCTAGAAGTACCTCACAACTGTTTTTCCATTTTTTCCGCTGTTAAACACATGGTTGGTTGGTTTAAATTGTAACTTGACTTTTAAAAAATAAATCATTTTGTGGTTTCAGCCATTGTGGTACTTACAAACTACTTGAGATTTAGATGTCTGTGTTTGTTGTACTGACGGTCTAGATAAAATAACTAAGCCCAAGCGTACCTGTGCTTCAGCATAGATACTCAAGTTGATCTTTATGTTTTCTAACGGATGAGATGGTTAAAATTTGCAAATCCTTTTACAGAATCACAGCATGTTGAATTTGGCTCAGGAATTGCAATTTGCAAGTAACTGAGTTCCTTTTGTGCAGAAAAAAGATAATGCCTTAAACAATTATATGCTTCAGGAATACACAGCAGAAATGAACTAAGGTGCAGTTACCAGATAGAGCCACTTTCCTCTCCATTTTCACTGTATGCTTAGACAAAATATGGTGCTATATCTTCTAAGTATTTGCATTTCAGGAGTTACTGCATAATAACAATCATGTTGATAGACTTTACCCCATTTTTATGCATCTTGTAGAATGGAGGTTCTGCAGTTTAATTCTGAAAACACCTGAAAATTAGAAATGCTCTGTAGGCTTTATGCAGAAGAATGTGCCTTTGCAGATGGTTTAAAGTAATATTCTATAAGGGTAACATAAACCTGTTGTAATATTTCTTAATGTTTGGCTGTACATATTGTAATAGTGTTTGATATTTGAAGGGAATAAATGTAGATCAAGGAATATGAGAAACCCATATGAGAAAATATAACACAAAACTTACTGAATGTCTGTTGTCTGGGAGATGAAAGTTAAGCTTATGTAATATATTCCCCAAGCCATACCTTTTTTATCTACTAGTAGGATAAATTCAATGACAAATTCCAAGTTTTTCAGCGAG